ATAGTGCTGGTATGTAGAACATCTACTGCTGGTCAAGGCTTTATGCCCACTGAGGCCGTAACGAGAAATCAGTCTACTAAGGATGTCATTAACTTCATCATAGGGGAAGGGGCGAAGGTCCATCCATCACTGACCCTAGCAGACATGGGAACCAAAGGTAGGTGCTGCTGCTCATCGTAGTAGTAGTAGCATGGTGAGAGTATAGCAGTAGGCATGGGACTTGTGGTATCGACCGACATGAAAGCTGGTACAGCTATGATAACGATACCGAGGAAATCGAAGGTCCTCATCAACATCGACACAGCATGTGATGATCCTGACTTCGGCAAGGGTCGGTCATCCATGCTCTGTATGTCGTATATATGACTATGTTCAGTGATATGTTACCTCAAGGGAGCTGGACTGGACGAAAGAGGTTGTCTCGCGTTCTGGCTTGTATTGCAGAAACTGGTACATGCTATCGGACTGGTCTCTTGTGGATAGGTTGGTGTCTTAGGCTTCCACTCGGAGTTCTAAAGTGAAGACCAGGTGGTGTCCCTATGCAGCTGTGCTCCCTACCGCCCAGAAATTGAGGTGATGCTCAGTGAAGGGGAAAAGCCTGGCAGGATAGTTCCTCAGGGACCATCCTTTACTATTAGATGATTCTGGAGTGTCTGCTATCGCCAACACAGCTCTACATGCATCAGTTACTTCAATGAAGGAGAACACGTTGAGACAGCTTGGGTATTGGACAGATTTCTGACTGCGAGTATGCTGGCCCTCAGGCATATACTAGAGATATTAAGCGCTCTTGAAGTGAAGGACGAGGGGCCTGTCGATACGTTCATTCGACATACTAAGATCAAACAGTTGTGGTTATGGGCACATGCTGTACTATTGAGTCGAAGTGGATTCGGCCTCAGTGGGGAGCCTGGGGACTCTGGTGTTATGGCAGGCGAAGGTATCACAGTACTCTCCATGGTAATAATCGTTATTATAGGCCTACTCATGATACCGTTGGTGGACTTCGCCAACCATGATAGCAGTGGTGGCAATGCTGAGATCCGTATACAGCATGCATCTACGGGTTGGTTTGGAGGTACTACTAGCACTGTAGTCTGCAGGCTTCTAATGAGAAACAGGCTCATCGGAAAGCATCTCCTTGGTGGCCAAGCGTGACACTAAAGCTGGGGAGGAGGTAGTAGTGCGTCCAATGAGGATAGAAGTACCATTGTAGATTCTTATATCGTATACTGGTGGCGATATACTCTCTGCTGAACAGAGCATATTCACCTACGGTTTCCGTATGGATCGCCTGGGTGCTCCCGACAAGTTCGCGGTACTCTGCTTACTCTTATTCTGTGGCCTCTTCACCGCTTTGGTAGGTGCCGACTGTGAGCAAGCCTGACGGTAGTGATATGAGGGATGTAATCCGACGACTGGTTCATATGGACGTAGCAAAGGACGAGGCAGATGTTATTACTATACAGAGGGATACGTAGTGTTCTACACTTTTCTCTAGTATACATGCTCCCATAAGGTATCCTGAGGCTCTTGTTGCATACATGTGTATTGATATACTAGCTGAAAAAAGAGGTAAATTGGAGAGTTTATGCCAGGCATATTCTAATGCTGAGCGGCAAGAAGGCATGCCACCACAGGTACATTCTGGGTAGTACTTCAGTGAAGACTCATCTTTTTAGGTGCGGATTCTTTTATCAGCAGTTAGGGGCGAGGCCGAGAAAAGGGCCGAATCATTGCTCGCGCGCTGGTTACAATCACTCGATATTAACCGCTCGGTCGTCGACATTAACAAAATGTAAGAGTGTGAGGATGAACGTCGTAGTGTAGTAGTTTACAGAACTAGGTACAGAGAGTATCACGATGATTTGGTAGAGGCAGTCGAGTCGGTGGTCATGCTATTGCACAAGTGAAAAGCATGTTGTTTCAATATAGTTTCCAGTTATGATCATTGTTGCAGTGTACATAGTCATTTGGACGAAAAACGAAATAAATGCAATATAATGATGCACTTTAACACAAAGCCTAATAAATAGGGAGAATACGGCAAAGTATAGCAGAGAATGAATTTTCTAAATATTACGCGGGTAAACTCATTTTTTCCAAGGCGCGCTTTCTATCTGCTACTGTCGTGGCGTTATCATCACTTCTTTGGAAGAAGTGTGTCTAAATGAAACCATAATGGAATCGGCTGCTACTTCTATGATACTTCGTATAATACCTTACAAAGGGCCTCATACTCTCTGAGTTGATTCTTGAAACCTTCGTGGGGAGCACAGCAATGCCGTCGTGTTAGAATATAAGCGAGCGTTTCGTCTGTGCTAAGACCGTATCTGTTTCTCAATCTCAATGCCACACTAACACAGACTTCACCTTGCTATTATGTAAGCAGCCACAAGAGTAGATGAACGTGAAAGGCCTGCATTACCGTGCACCTATTTACCACAATGGTTCGATCCAACATCCTGAAGACTGCCACTACTAGTATCTTGTGTGATGGACTAGATGATAAAACTGAATTGATGAATTCACTGACGGGCTTGAAGTGTCGTATCATATTCTCGAAGGGCGAGTCTCGGGCATCGATAGTGAGGTACTGATCAAATTAGTGATAGATGTGACTAAGAACGTCATCTTACTCTTATGCCATCATCCACGAATTTCTCTCTCAAAAAACGACTCTCCTCGACACTCCGGACGACGACGATCTGTGTGAGACCACCTGGGTGAGGATGTGAACGTCGCGCATGCCTACATGGGTGATTCCGACCCGCCGTAGAACATCGAGATCACGAGCGCAACCGAACGGGCCGAGGTAGAGGTTGGGGAGTATCTCCTGGGCCTACATGACTCAGTAGAACAGGGTTAGACACGAATGGCGATCATCATTACCTCACGTTTCATATCGTAGTCCCATACCTTTACTGGTGGTAGGAAGGGAAAGTCATCGGACATTTCATGAGCCTTGACGAGTAGATAATGCGCTGGTACATCTCGATTACAGAGACTAGCGCGAGATATTACAGTTTCTCGCGCGC